ACTTCATCAAACCCCCCCCAAACCCCGAGATATTTTTTTTTTAACCCAATCCCTTTAATTTTTTTTTACATTCCACCAACCCCAAAAGGCTGGAAATTCCCCAAATTGCCGAGGGAAAATCCCGGGGATCCCCTCACCAGAAGACGGGGCTGTCGCCGTCCTCGCGCACCCGGTAATAATCGTGACCCTCGGGCACGGCCTTGGCCAAGCCAAAATCCCCGATTTTCACCACGTGTTCGTTCTCCAGGAGAACGTTCCGGGCTGCCAGATCCCGGTGGATGTAGTGTAGGGAATGCAGGTAGGCCATGCCCTGGGGAAAATTAGGGAAAAGGGGGAAAAAAGGGGAAAAAACGGGAAAGAAAGGGAAAAAAATGGGGAAAAAAGGGAAAAAAGGGAAAAAAAGGGGAAAAAACGGGGAAAAAATGGGGAAAAAAAGGGAAAAAAAAGGGAGAAATGGGGGAAAAATGGGAAAAAAAGGGGAAAAAAACAGGGAAAAAAGGGAAAAAAAAGGGAGAAAAAGGGAAAAAAAAGGGAAAAAATGGGGAAAAAAGGGAAAAAAAGGGGAAAAAATGGGGAAAAACGGGGGAAAAAAGGAAAAAAAAGGGAAAAAAAGGGGAAAAAACGGGGAAAAAATGGGGAAAAACGGGGAAAAAAAGGGGAAAAAAGGGGAAAAAAAGGGGAGAAAATGGGGAAAAAAGGGAAAAAAACGGGAAAAAACGGGGAAAAAAAGGGGAAAAAAGGGAGAAAAAGGGAAAAAAAGGGAGAAAAAGGGGAAAAAAGGGAGAAAAAGGGAAAAAAAGGGAAAAAAAAGGGAAAAAAACGGGAAAAAAAGGGGGAAAATGGGAAAAAAGGGGAAAAACAGGGAAAAAAAGAGAAAAAAACGGGAAAAAATGGGGAAAAAAAGGGAAAAAAGGGAGAAAAAGGGAAAAAAAGGGAGAAAAAGGGGAAAAAAGGGAGAAAAAGGGAAAAAAAGGGAAAAAAAAGGGAAAAAAACGGGGAAAAAACGGGGAAAAAAGGGAAAAAACGGGGAAAAAACGGGGAAAAAAGGGAAAAAACGGGAAAAAAAAGGGGAAAAAAAGGGAAAAGAAGGGAAAAAACCGGGAAAAAAACGGGAAAAAACGGGAAAAAAAGGGAAAAAAGGGAGAAAAAGGGAAAAAAAGGGAAAAAAAAGGGAAAAAAAAGGGAAAAAAAGGGAAAAAAAGGGGAAAAAATGGGGAAAAAATGGGAAAAAATGGGGAAAAAAAGGGAAAAAATGGGGAAAAAATGGGGAAAAAAATAGGGGAAAAATGGGGAAAAAAAGGGAGAAAAAGGGAAAAAAAAGGGAAAAAACGGGAAAAAAAGGGGAGAAAAGGGGGAAAAATGGGAAAAAAAGGGGAAAAAACGGCAAAAAAACGGGGAAAAAGGGAAAAAAACGGGAGAAAAAGGGAAAAAAAGGGAAAAAAAGGGAGAAATGGGGGAAAAATGGGAAAAAATGGGGAAAAAATGGGGAAAAACGGGGGAAAATGGGAAAAAACGGGGAAAAACAGGGAAAAAAAGAGAAAAAAAACGGGAAAAAATGGGGAAAAAAAGGGAAAAAATGGGGAAAAACGGGGGAAAATGGGAAAAAACGGGGAAAAACAGGGAAAAAAGGGAAAAAAATGGGAAAAAATGGGGAAAAAAAGGGAAAAAAACGGGAGAAAAAGGGAAAAAAAGGGAAAAAAAGGGAAAAAAAAGGGAAAAAAAAGGGGAAAAAAAGGGAAAAGAAGGGAAAAAAAGGGGAAAAAATGGGGAAAAAAGGGAAAAAATGGGGAAAAAAAGGGAAAAAAAGGGAAAGAAAGGGAAAAAAAAGGGAAAAAAACGGGAAAAAAGGGAAAAAAAGGGAAAAAAAGGGAAAAAAGGGGAAAAAATGGGGGAAAACGGGGGAAAATGGGAAAAGACGGGGAAAAACAGGGAAAAAAGAGAAAAAAACGGGAAAAAATGGGGAAAAAAAGGGAAAAAAACGGGAGAAAAAGGGAAAAAAAGGGAAAAAAACAGGGAAAAAAAGGGAAAAAAGGGAAAAAAAGGGAATTTTGGGGGGTTTTGGAGGCGTTTTTTGGGGATTTGGGTGGGTTTTTTTGGGGATTTGGGTGGATTTTTTGGGAATTCGGCCCCATTTTTTGAATTCAGACCCATTTTTTGGGAATCCAGCCTCATTTTTTGGGAGTTCAGCCTCATTTTTGGGAATTCAGCCCCATTTTTTGGGAATTCAGATGCGTTTTTTGGGAATTCAGACCCATTTTTTGGGATTTCAGCCCCATTTTCGGGAATTCAGCCCCATTTTTGGGATTTCAGCCTCATTTTTTGGGAATTCAGCCCCATTTTTGGGTATCCAACCCCATTTCCAAAGGCTCCAACCCCATTTTTGGGAATTCGGCCTCATTTTTTGGGAATTCAGACCCATTTCCAAAGGCTCCAACCCCATTTTTTTGGGATTTCAGCCCCATTTTTTGGGAATTCAGCCCCATTTTTTTTGGATTTCAGCCTCATTTTTGGGATTTCAGCCCCATTTTTTGGGAATCCAGCCCCATTTTTGGGCATCCAACCCCATTTCCAAAAGCTCCAACCCCATTTTTTGGGGGGAACTCAGCCCCATTTTGGGGCTGTAACCCCCATTTTTGACTTGTTCCCCCCGTTTTTTTGGGAACAATCCCATTTTTTCTGGGATCCTGGCTCACCTCACAGATCTGCTGGGCGAAGAGCAGGAGGTGGGAGAGGCTCAGGGGGTGTTTGGGCAGGAATTCCCGGAGGCTTCCCAGCGGGACGTATTCCATGATCAGCTGCACCACCTTATCCCCTAGAACAGAAAAATTGGAATATTGAGAATCCCACCCCAAAAACCCCCAAATTCCTGCCAAAACACCCATTCCTTGCCCCCCAAAAAAATTTGGGAATTGCTGTTTTTTTGGTGGTTTTGAATCCACTGGGAAAATCCGGATTTCTCCCTCACCCTGCTCGCTGCAGCACCCCTTGTACTTGACGATGTTCTCGTGGTATAAATTCTTCAGGATTTGGATTTCTTTCTTCCAGGAGCTCTGGAGTTGGGGGCTGCTCCCAGATTTTAGGGATTTCACCGCCACCATCTCCCCGGTGCCGTCGTTGGTGGGGTCGTAGCAGCACAGGCTCACCTTCCCAAAATGACCCTGGAAAAACAAGAAATTTTCGGGATTTGGGTGTGAGGACCAAAAAAAAATAAAAAAAAAATAAAGATTTTGGGCTTTCCCTGTGCTGGGAGAATCCAGAGGGAAGGGGGAATTTCAGAACTGGAGGGGGGGAAAAATTAGCAGGGAAAATAGGTTGAAATGCGAAAATAAGGATTAAAAGGTGGAATTTTGGGCCCAGCCAGGGAAAGGAGGATTCCCAGGCTCGGAATTCCAGAAATCAGGACGCCACTGACCTCTCCCAGCTCCCGGATTTTCTTCAGGTATCGCTTCTGGAAGACGGTGGGATCCGACACCGGGAAATCAGGATTCACCGACGAGACGTCCACGAGATCTGTGAGGGACCTTGGGTTTTCCTTTCTTCCCTTTTTCCCACAGAATCCCGGGATTTTCCCACCCCTCACGGCACGGCTGAGCTCCCGGGATTTTCCCCATTCCCTCATCCGGGATCTTCATCCCCATTTTCCCCACAGAATCTCGGGATTTTCCCTCTTCCCGCCCTCACGGCACGGCCGGAGCCGGCTGAGCTCCCTCACATTCCCCTCACACAATCCCAGGATTTATTCCATTCCTTCATTTGGGACCTTCATCCCCATTTTCCCCACAGAATCCCGCGATTTTCCCATTCCCACCCTCACGCAGTGGCTGAGCTCCCTCACGCCCCTTTCCCCTCACACAATCCCGGGACTTTCCCATTCCCGCCCTCACGCTGCGGCTGGAGCCGGCTGAACTCCCTCATAATTCCCCCTCAGAATCCCGGGATTTTTCTCCACTCCCTCATCCAAGTATTTTATCCCCATTTTCCCCACAGAATCCCGGGATTTATCCCATCCCCTCATTCGGGACCCTTATCCCCATTTTCCCCACAGAATCCCGGGATTTATCCCATTCCCGCCCTCACGGCACGGCTGGAGCCGGGTGAGCTCCCGGATTTTCTCCATCCCCTCATCCGGGACCTTTATCCCCATTTTCCCCACAGAATCCCGGGATTTATCCCATTCCCGCCCTCACGCTGCGGCTGGAGCCGGGTGAGCTCCCGGATTTTCTCCATCCCCTCATCCAGGACCTTTATCCCCATTTTCCCCACAGAATCCCGGGATTTATCCCATCCCCTCATTCGGGACCCTTATCCCCATTTTCCCCACAGTATCCGGGGATTTTCCCCTTCCCGCCCTCAAGACACGGCTGGGGCCAGATGAGCTCCCTCAGGCCCTTTTCCCCCCTCAGAATCCCGGGATTTTTCCCCATCCCCTCATCCGGGACCTTTATCCCCATTTTCCCCACAGAATCCCGGGATTTATCCCATTCCCGCCCTCACGCTGCGGCTGGAGCCGGGTGAGCTCCCTCAGGACGGCTCGGAAGGACGGCCGCTCCCCGGGGCTGTAGTTGAGGCACCGGGAGATCAGCGAGGCCAATTCCGGGCAGGAAGGCTCCGGCAGCCGATGCCTCTTCTCATAAAAACGCTCCTTCTGCAGGAAAAAAACCAAAAAAAACCACGGGAAAAACTCCAACTCCAACCTCTGGAAACCCAAAACTCAGGAAAACAAGCGGGGATCACCTCGGAGGGAGTGCGCTCCTTCAGCGGGACATCGGCATCGAAGCAAATTTCCAGGAGAGTTGTCCCAAAACTCCATTTATCCGAGGCCGTGCTGAGGTTCCCGATATCCCGAATACATTCCGGAGCGATCCAGGGAATTCTGTCCACACGTTCTGAAAGAAAAGGTATTAAATGTAAATTTAATATTGATTTATGCGCTTGGGGGAGTCGAGGTAATGCGTTCGTGTGAAGGATTAAAATAGGGAATACGGATTGGTAAATACAGATATTAAAGGTGGAAAATATAGGATGTGAAGTGGAAAAAGATGGAATGTTAAAGGTGTAAAATATAGGAAATTTGGGATATTAAAGGGATAAAATATGGGATTTCCAGCAATGGAATGGGGTTGGATCATCCCTGAGAGCAGCTAAATATGGATTGGTAAATAAAGATACTAAAGGTGGAAAATAGGGGATGTGAAGTGGAAAATGATGGAATGTTAAAGGTAAAATACAGGAAATTTGGGATTTTAAAGGGATAAAATATGGGATTTCGTAAATACAGATATTAAAGGTGGAAAATACAGGTTGTGAAGTGGAAAAAGATGGAATGTTAAAGGTGTAAAATACAGGAAATTTGGGATTTTAAAGGGATAAAATATGGGATTTCGTAAATACAGATATTAAAGGTGTAAAATATAGGAAATTTGGGATATTAAAGGGATAAAATATGGAATTTAGTAAATACAGATATTAAAGGTGGAAAATACAGGTTGTGAAGTGGAAAAAGATGGAATGTTAAAGGTAAAATATAGGAAATTTTTTGATATTAAAGGGATAAAAGATGGGATTTCCAGCAATGGAATGGGGTTGGATCATCCCTGAGAGCAGCTAAATACGGATTGGTAAATACAGATATTAAAGGTGGAAAATACGGGATGTGAAGTGGAAAAAGATGGAATGTTAAAGGTGTAAAATATAGGAAATTTGGGATTTTAAAGGGATAAAATATGGGATTTCCAGCACTGGGGTTGGATCATCCCTGACAGCAGCTAAATGTGGATTGGTAAATACAGATATTAAAGGTGGAAAATACAGGAAATTTGGGATTTTAAAAGGATAAAATATGGGATTTCGTAAATACAGATATTAAAGGTGGAAAATGGAAAAAGATGGAATGTTAAAGGTGTAAAATATAGGAAATCTGGGATTTTAAAGGGATAAAAGATGGGATTTCGTAAATACAGATATTAAAGGTGTAAAATATAGGAAATTTGGGATTTTAAAGGGATAAAATATGGGATTTCGTAAATACAGATATTAAAGGTGGAAAATATGGGATGTGAAGTGGAAAAAGATGGAATGTTAAAGGTGTAAAATACAGGAAATTTGGGATTTTAAAGGGATAAAAGATGGGATTTCCAGCACTGGGGTTGGATCATCCCTGAGAGCAGCTAAATATGGATTGGTAAATACAGATATTAAAGGTGGAAAGTGGAAAAAGATGGAATGTTAAAGGTGTAAAATACAGGAAATTTGGGATTTTAAAGGGATAAAATATGGGATTTCGTAATACAGATACTAAAGGTGGAAAATACAGGTTGTGAAGTGGAAAAAGATGGAATGTTAAAGGTGTAAAATATAGGAAATTTGGGATTTTAAAGGGATAAAATATGGGATTTCCAGCAATGGAATGGGGTTGGATCATCCCTGAGAGCAGCTAAATATGGATTGGTAAATATAGATATTAAAGATGGAAAATATAGGAAATTTTGAATTTTAAAGGGATAAAATATGGCATTTCGTAAATACAGATATTAAAGGTGGAAAATACGGGATGTGAAGTGGAAAAAGATGGAATGTTAAAGGTGTAAAATACAGGAAATTTGGGATTTTAAAGGGATAAAATATGGGATTTCCAGCACTGGGGTTGGATCATCCCTGACAGCAGCTAAATATGGATTGGTAAATACAGATATTAAAGGTGGAAAATATAGGTTGTGAAGTGGAAAAAAATGAATGTTAAAGGTGTAAAATACAGGAAATTTGGGATTTTAAAGGGATAAAATATGGGATTTCGTAAATACAGATATTAAAGGTGGGAACAAAAAAAAAATTATAAAAAAAAAAATCAGTTGTGGTTTATTTGTTGTAAATGTTTTACTGTTTTCTGGGAATTAATTTTTTAATAATAAATCTTTTAATAATAAATTTCCTAATAATAAATATCTAATAATAAACATCCCAAGAATAAATTTCATAATAATAAATTTCTAATAATAAATCTTTCAATAATAAATTTCCTAAAAATAAATTTCCTAATAATAAACATCCCAAGAATAAATTTCCTAATAATAAATTTCTAATAATAAACATCCCAAGAATAAATTTCCTAATAATAAATTTCTAACCCTAAACATCCCAATAATAAATTTCCTAATAATAAATTTTCTGATAATAAACATCCCAATAATAAATTTTCTAATAATAAATTTTCTAATAATAAACATCCCAAGAATAAATTTCCTAATAATAAATATCTAATAATAAACGTCCCAATAATAAATTTCCTAATAATAAATATCTAATAATAAATATCCCAATAATAAATTTCCTAATAATAAATATCTAATAATAAACATCCCAAGAATAAATTTCCTAATAATAAATTTCTAATAATAAATCTTTCAATAATAAATTTCCTAATAATAAATATCTAATAATAAATATTCCAATAATAAATTTCCTAATAATAAATTTTCTAATAACAAACATCCCAATAATAAATCTCCTAATAATAAATTTTCTAATAATAAATCTAATATCAAATCTCCCAATAATAAAAATTCTAATAATAAATCTCCCAATAATAAGAGAATAGTAGGAAAAAAAAAAATCCTGGAAAAAAGAAATATTAGAGAAAAATCCCAACAATGCACAGGGGCATAAAATAAGATAATAATTTATATATATAAGTATATAATATATATAATTGTATATATAATAATATATATTTATATACATATATATAATATATATTTATATACATATATTTATTATGTTATATTAATATATAACATACATATAATTATATATATAATAATATAATACGTATTTATATACATATATATATAATATATTTATATACATATAAATATACATATAAATATACATCTATTTATTATCTTATATTATTATATAACATATATAATTATATATATAATAAAATATAATATATATTTATATACATATATACATATAAATATACATATATTTATTATGTTATATTATTATATAACATATATAATTATATATATAATAATAAAATATATATTTATATACATATATTTATAGACATATATATAATAAATTTATATACACATAAATATACATATAAATATACCTATATTTATTATATTATTATATAACATAATAAATATATATAATAATAACAGATAAATAAATAAGGAAAAATAAAATTAAAAGCTGGAATTCCAGGCTGGAATTTTCACCTCCCTCTCTGGGAATTTTGCTCCAAAAAATAAAAAATAAAGGAGATTTTCCAACCTCACGCTCAGAACCCCATCACTCATCCCTCGCTTTTCCCACCTCCAAAACAAACCCAGGAATTCGGGAAAGACCCGGGATTCCCCAGGGTATCCCGGGAATCCCGGGATTCCCCAGGGCATTTTGGGGATTCCCCAGGGCATTAAGGGAATCCCGGGATTCCCGATGGCATCAGAGGCATCCCGGAATTCCCAGGGATTCCCCAGGAATTCCCCAGGGATTCCAGGGCCAGGGGCATTCCAGGGATTCCCCAGGGCAGGGCGGATCCGGGATTCCCCAGGGGAAAATGTAGGTTGTGAAGTGGAAAAAGATGGAATGTTAAAGGTAAAATATAGGAAATTTTTTGATATTAAAGGGATAAAAGATGGGATTTCCAGCACTGGAATGGGGTTGGATCATCCCTGAGAGCGGCTAAATATGGATTGGTAAATACAGATATAAAAGGTGGAAAATAGGGGATGTGAAGTGGAAAAAGATGGAATGTTAAAGGTAAAATACAGGAAATTTGGGATTTTAAAGGGATAAAATATGGGATTTCGTAAATACAGATATTAAAGGTGGAAAATACAGGTTGTGAAGTGGAAA